ACAAGCATTAAGACTGGAAGTAAACGATGGAAACACAGCAGTGTTGGTGGGATACTGTGAGAACAGGCTGCTTTGTTGGAGAACAGCTGTCCCACTGTCTGAGTCTCTGATTCACACAGCCAAGCGTTTCAGGAATGCTCCAGCAGCTAAATGTTTGATAACTGCTATTTATCACTTGAGTTTTAGGTAATTGTCAAAAAATGTTTTAACTGCCTTTATCTGCTCCATGACAGAACACATAGGAAATAAACTACTGCGAACATGGGCCTCACCTGAGGATGTGTTGAATTTTCTATTATATATTCATCATTCCAGACTAAATAAAAACTCATTAGCTCTGCAGAAGTAAGTCTCCATTCAGTGGTGATGGAGTGCACACCTTCACAAGACCTTCAGAAGAATGTGAACACTGGTTAACTGGCCATTTCAGCAAAGTCACGCCTAAAATTCAGGTGCCCAAACACAGGCTCCCAGAACTTCCGAGAAACAGCTCTGACACAGTCTGCAGTCCCCTACCGCTTAAACGTACCCACTGTCCGTCTCACAGCGACGAACCAGCTGAAGGACGCTTCCCACAGATGCAGAAATATTCCGGTACATTTCCTGTCAACATCTCAGGCAAACAGCAGCTTTCCAAAACAATCGGACACAGAAAAAGAATTTTATACAGCAAATACTGACATGACCCCCTAAAATGCACTGGAATGAAGGTCCACTTTTTGTGACCCAAAACATCAATTTTGACATGACAGATTAAGAGAGGAGCGGCCATTTTGCAGGAAGGCCCACGAACTTGGCAGCAAGCTTCCAGGTATTATTTTTGAAAGACCAGTGCTGGCTGGTAAGACACACACTGGTCTGTCTGCTGATCCAGAACAACTTGTATGGGGGAGGAGGGGACGGGGGTCACACGAGGGAAAGCTGATGTTCAGTGTCCTGCGGGACACATGGTTACTGCAGCGCCTCGCAGTCTGAAGCTTCAGAGAAAGGCGCCTTTTACAGGAGACACACACACACACGCACACACACACACACACGCACACACACACGCACACACACACACACACACACTTCACTTAAACGATAAAAATAAATGGAGACTAACCCTCAGGCCTTATTGTTCTTAAAACACGCACAGAGTGACACCCATCGATCGATGGATGGATGGACCTATCGATCTGTGACGCCGGCTGAAACGAGACCGCCCAGTGAGGAGCAGCCTTTCCCAGCTCCACCCCCCCCCCACCATACCGCACGGCCATTGCTATGATTCAGCATATTGTTTACGCCTTCGCTCACCCCTCTTCTAAACTACGATGTGTTTCTTGTTGCTGTTTTCAGGACTCATTCACACGAAAGGTAATCGCTGCCATGTGCTCTTCCTCTCTGTCCGCACACACACACACACACACACTTGCTTCCAGATGAGGGTGCGGCCGCAGAGGACCTGCTCTTCAGAGATCACCTTTCCGACATGGGTACCTATTCCATGTGCTCTAGTGACTGTTTGCATCTCCTCGTTCCCAAAGTCTGCACCACGCTTGGCGAAGGTGCCTTCATGCTAACGGCTCCAGCTGCATGGACTTAAATGGAAACGCACCTGTCACGTTGGCTGTGTTACGGGTTGTTAAGGGTTTTAAAACTTGAATTAGGTTCAAGTAATTGGTTTCTAACGCTGTGTTGCTTGTTTCATTGCATGCTTTGCTGTCTCCGTTTATCATTGTGTTTCCTGCTGATATGCCACCATTTTGACCAGGGTCCTTTTGTAAAAGATCTTGATCCTCCAATGAAGTGAAATAAGTGTAAATAACAAAATCACACAGGGCTCTCCTAGGTGACACTGGGCAAAGGAAAGTCCCCGGTGTATGCAGGGAAACGCCGTACAGTCCTGCCAGGAATGACACCCCCCCACCAAGAGACAGGAATTCATCCCGTCACGCGGGATGCAGCCCAGCATAAGCAGATGCTTCTTGCCCAGCACCGGCGTGTGGAAACGCAGCATATTTGCCCAAACACGGGATTTATTTTTGCCGACTGAATCTCCTGTCTTAACAATCCATTTTTCCACTCATGTGATACCCCCCCCCCCCCCACACTCTTTATGTTATTAGCAAGGAGCTTACAGGCCACCCCACAAACGTCCCCACGGCAAGACGAGGTGCGATTCACTTAACTACAAGGTTTAATAAGTTATTCTTCAAGAAGTCATACATGGCCGTGTGTTTATAAGTCACAGATGTAACAGGGTCTTTCCAGGGAGCATAAAGGTACCACAGGCGCAGGAGAAATGCTGCTGCACTCAGCGACTCCTGTGATCACATTCCATGGCACTACATCACATTGTTCCATTAGATTTGAGTCCTGGAAGCTGAACTTTGGCACTGGTGATAGATTAACAAGTTACACCATCAACAGCTGAGAAATGTAGCGGAGCCTGGACCAGAAACCAGTTAGGGGCGCTGTGGGAAGCTGGGACCACTGGTCATGTGTGGAACCTGGTGTGGTGGGATTCCCACAGCCGAAACATCAGCAAAGAACGCCTGGCACCCGCCGGGCAAGTTAAACCAGGGCCTAAAATCACCTCTGGAGATTCCATTGGACCTTGCGCAGCCAGTGTGTGATCGAGGGTGACGTCATGTTAGTCTAACGGAAAGCTTCAGAGTGAATGGATGACAAGAGATACTAATGTCTTTAGCAGCTTTCCAGTAACTGTGGGCTGGTAGGCGGCCGACCAAATCTAAGGGTCAGTTTACCAGAGACAAAGCCCGACCGTAACATTTCAGCAGATACCGTTTTTAATGTCGAACCTCAATGGCACACCGGACTCTCTGAAAATCAAAACCACAGCCGGTTGCTCCTTGTTAATTCATTTGAGATTCCGCGATTTTTCCCGAAAGACAAAAAATAGAAAAAAAAGTCTCTGAACAGGCTGTCTAAATAAGACTATTGCTAAAATACCGTAAATATGAAATATTAAGCCCCGAGAGAAACAATCACTAGTAATCATAGGTTAATGATTCAGAAAAGGCTTCTTAAAGTATTATTACTTTTGACAGCAATCTGTCCTGTCAAAGTGAGATTGGGAGGCGCCCGTGCAGCTCTCACTGAAAAGCATGACTAGTAATAACGGGGCTTCGGGAATAACCTTATTATACTGCTCCTAGCCACGCACGCCCTGTACAGCCGAGCCAGCTCCGGGAAAAGCCCACATCGTACCTTTATAGCGTTCCAGCACGTCCTCGTACGCCTGCAGGTAGTCCCTCTCGTCCGCCAGCATGAAGGCGGCGGCCGGTATGAAGTGAGCCATACCAGGGCGGCGGGTAGGGCACGCCGGCTTCGGGACAAGGACTCGAGGAGGCTCGGGTCTGCGCAGCGGAGGGACGCTGCTATTAAAGGAAACGCCCCGTTCTGCCCCCCCCCCCACGCCCGCCCCGGCCGTCAGCCTCCAACAGTGGAGACTTCCTCTCTGGTTTCATTAGGAGAACTCAGCCGCGCGCCGGGCTTCAGCAAGGGCGGGGCGGTCTCGAGGTCTGATGAATGCCATCCCATATTGAGCGCTGGTGCGCGTTACCACGACTGCGCGTCCCCGTAGCCCAGCGACAGACCTCGACAGCCCCCCTCTTTTTAAAATCGCAGGACGCCGTAGGACATAGGCCACTGTTTGCCGACAACACTGGGCGTTATGCTGATTTCCAGCCTATTATATTCTGTATATGCCATTACAAATATTGGTTTCATATTAATAGCCTATGGTAAGTGCACACGTGCGTATATTTACATTTACAGCGACAAACATGCACTTCTTGGGTCAACATGAACGGCCACACTTGAGGTTGAGACTTGGAGACATTTTTGCTTGACTCATGTGCTTAGCAGCCGGACATTTTAAATGCACCGAGACATTTCTGTCTGAGTCCTGTGCGGCTCCACATGTGTCACCATGGGCTCCGTGGAGGTCCTAGCGCCGCCCACCTCAGCTCCCCTGTCACCAGGATCCAGGATGACCGGGCATTTCCTTAACACCCACACCCCGTGCACATGCAAACACCCTGCCCACTGGTTAATTTTATTTTCAACTCAAATATAAATATATCACTTGCTATGCTCATTTGTAAGCAGCGCAGTTTATCCTTCAGAATAGTGACAATTCAAAAACATGCGCCATAGTTTCACTGTGTTGTGGGGAAAAAAGTTTAAAGTAAATCCGTACAAGCATTCCTGACGTCATATAGTTCAGGTGGATGTTTACCACAGTCTGTTCTGACTCATCATAAAGCACACGTTTCACAATAATAAGGGTTACGTTTTATTATCTTATATGCTAATATGACCGCATATTCGATAAAACCAACTCTCCGTTATAATAAAACTACACATTTGTCGTAAGAACACAAGGTCCTGGTCAGAAAAGCGCACGATCGACGTCCCAGTGTGGGCTTTCTGTCAAACTTCAGGTACCGACCTGACACACACCTCTATTATTCAGCGATACTTTGTTTGAAAGCACCACATCGTCTGTTTCTGTTATGTTATGTGTATTTGATTAAACCAAACCAAAAGTTCCTCCAGATGTCACTAGCTAACAGTTGCAGCAAATTCGTTTCATTTTGCACACTTTCTGTTCACCGCTAAATTGAACAGGAAATTAAAGATAAAATGTAACCGACCGTGCGACCGGTCCCATCTAAACGAGGGATCCTTTACCGCAGTTGGCATTCATTTATCTATTTAACTTTTTAAACACAATAAACACAAGCGAGTCGACTACTTTAAACGCTACACAATAAGCCACAGCATCCCGAAGCTCCGAATGACCACCTTCTCAGTAATAGTACATTTTTTTCTGGTCAAAACCAAAACCAGACAACAAGCAGTAATGTCGCCAAAAATCAAGATTTCATAAATAACAACTGGAAAACGACGGCAAAAATCATTTTGCCAATAACAATCTCACACAAAATATGCGTCCTATTATAAAGCAGGGAAATGTCGGCACTCACCGGCGATCCTGAGTACGGCTCTCTCGGCCGGATCCAGAACCGATCCACCCTGGATCTTCCTCTTGGACCGCTCGTGTCTCGGCAGGTTCCAGGGCAGCGTGTCCCCGGGCGCTGGCGACGCCGAACCCGACTTGAAACTGTAATCATCCTCGTCCGAGAAATCTGCAGATGAGGACATGGAGCAGCGGAGGGAAGCGTTCCCGGAGCCCGAGCTCTGCAGAGACAATAGAAAGGAAAAGCTGCTGCCTATTTCCCCTCTCGCCAGAAATATGACAACACAGTCCAGTGAATGGGGGCAGTCATGCGTGCTTGTGCCGGGGCTTTATTCTCGCCAGGGTGCGAGGAAAGCTCCAAAATCCACGCACATGAGTTAAAGGCTACGGCCTGTAATCAAACAAGCTCCCGATAACCCGCGATCAACATAAAATGCTAAGAAGCCCGAGAAGCAGCCGGTGGTGAGATCGATTGAATGTGGCTCCCACGGCAGGACGGGACCCAGACTTACCGCCGTGTACATGGTGGTGCGCCGCGGCTGGTGCGCTCCGGCTGCCGGTTAGACAGATGCACCGTGCCGATGTGTCATGCCGCCTCCCCCGGCAGAGCCACACCCTTCTGACAATTTAATGTTCCCACACCAGCGCTTTGCCTTCTGACAGCTAGCTCCAGATGATGCCAAATCTCCCGGAGAAAGCGAGCGCTTCGGCCAAGAGAAACCCGATTTAAAATGCGCAGCAGCACTGGACTCGGCGGTTCTGTTCAGGAGGTTCGTACGCGCCTCCCCCCAGACTATCCAGTGTCTGTCTGTCTTGTTTTTTTTAGCATCGGAAATCCAATCGCAATTCCAAGAAGTGCTGTTCTCCTTTGTCGATCGGTAGTCCTATGATGCCGAAGGGCGCTGATGTTTATGTTGTCATGAGGCAGTGAAAATTCGCATCCAATACAACTGCTATAAAAAAAAACGCCGTTTGATATTAATAAGTGCTGATTTCGATGGTTAGGCTACTTGTAGTTTTAGCTACTCCCGTTTTTCATACCATACACAAACAGAGATGAAATCACACGCGTTAATTGCAGACGCGTTTTCAGAACGCATGGATGATTGTAAAATGAGTGATGATGCTGGATAAAACACGGGAAGGCGGACATGGCGGGCATGTTAGACCTATGAAGGCAGGTCGGGTGTAGCCGCACAGGTAGGAGACGAGCCCTAATAACCGGTGACGCAGGAGGGTAGTCCTTTAATGCCCTGCGGACCTAACGCGTAATGATGAATCATTTCGGCTGTCTGGATTTCTTTTTTATGACCATAGCGGTAGCTGCACTTATACAAAGTGGCCACCTGCATAAATCTGAAATATAAGCAATCCGGTCAGTATTGAATGTACAGCTGAATCAGATATGTGGTCGCACGGCAACAAGTGTTACCGCCGCGAACATACGCAGCTCGCATCGCCCGAAACACTGGAAAGCACGGGTAACTTATAACTAGTCCATTAAAAACCCAGGTTCGTCTGATTTGTCCGTATCTGCGCGGATCAGAGTCACTTCTATCCAGGATCATAATCTTCCATGAGAATAACTGGCACTGATACATCGTCAGTTTTTGCATAAATTTGAAATAGCATTTATATTTTACACAAAAAACTATTTGGAATTAAAAGATTTTTTACATTCAGCTATTGACAATAAATCACTGCTGTTCTTGCCAGTTAATTTCAATAGAGGTTGTACTATACATGAACACTTCTGTTACATTTGTATGTGGTCCAGTGTTTGTGTTAACTCTGTAAAACTGTAACATTACAAAAATTAACCATTAGACAATCGCACCATTCAACTGCAGCTGTAAGCAGACAAATTATACACAGGCATATAAGGAGGCCACTCATCTCGGAGGTCAATTCAAACCTCGACTCGCTAAGAACTGCACTCTCCATTAGGTTACATCTGCATTCTGCTAAACAGGCTGCAGAGTCCCACTGAGCTGTGGCTTCAAACCCACATTCCCAGGGTGGGCCAGTGGCTTTTCTATAGCTCCTCCCAAACTGAAAACATGTCAACTAGGGAATGAAAAATTAGTTATTTATCAGTGCTTCAGCATTTCTTTTCTGCTCAGGTCAGTGCCTCTAAGCTTCTCCTCCAGCCTGGTCAGTGCCTCTAAACTTCTCCTCTGGCCAGGTCAGTGCCTCTAAGCTTCTCTTTTGGCCAGGTCAGTGCCTCTAGGCTTCTCCTCTGGCCAGGTCGGTGCCTCTAGGCTTCTCTTTTGGCCAGGTCAGTGCCTCTAAGCTTCTCCTCCAGCCTGGTCAGTGCCTTTAAGCTTCTCCTCTGGCCAGGTCAGTGTCTCTAAGCTTCTCTTTTGGCCAGGTCAGTGCCTCTAAGCTTCTCTTTTGGCCAGCTCAGTGCCTCTAGGCTTCTCCTCTGGCCAGGTCAGTGCCTCTAGGCTTCTCCTCTGGCCAGGTCAGTGCCTCTANGCTTCTCCTCTGGCCAGGTCAGTGCCTCTAGGCTTCTCCTCTGGCCAGGTCAGTGCCTCTAAGCCTCTCCTCTGGCCAGGTCAGTACCTCTAAGCCTCTCCTCTGGCCAGGTCAGTGCCTCTAAGCTTCTCCTCTGGCCAGATCAGTGCCTCTAAGCTTCTCCTCTGGCCAGGTCAGTGCCTCTAAGCTTCTCTTTCCCAGAAGCACCACAATTGTCTGTGTGTTGCATTAATTTGTTGTTATTAGCATGCTAGGTACAGACGAGTTCAGCACCAAGTATCTCCCACCCCATTTTATAGCAGCAGACCAATAGCCACACATCAGTTCCCCTGGTCCCCTTAATCAGCCACAGCAACGACATGCAGCCTCATGCATTAATCCACATCCACCATAAAGCGGCTCTTTCCAAAACCCAGACAAGCAGAATTCATCCATTCAAATCCTGTATTAAGCTAAAGACCTGTTTCTTATAAGCAATATTACCTTCCATGTAAAGATGAAAAATTAAAACTGAGTAATGGCACCCTATAATATCAGTTAGCAGTGGAAATGAAATTATATCTGCACTAAAAGTAAGTTAATCTTTAGTTAGGAACGCTGAGTCCCTGGTGTATGTTTAACCAGTACCTTCATTAAAAAACATCCAGCAAGAAACTGCCACGGTACATTCCGGACGCTTTCTGTCACTGATGTTTTTCTGTCAAAAATTATTTCGCCTTCACAGATTAACGGACACTCTCAGACTTGTATGAGGGGGAGGGGCCAAGGAGAACAAAGGGCGAGGATGGAC